TATATTTCTATATTTTCTAGTTTCATTTATACACTTTAGCACACACTCTTAGACAATATATTGCACTAATTTTAAGATATATACAAAGGCACGCAAGCACATAAACGATTAATCAGGACATGGCACTAATTTTAAATGAAGTTAAAATCTAGAAAAACGTGATAACACGTGGTAACAATCAATGTGATTAAAATTAAGATTTTAGTAAAATCGAAACTGGACCAAAAAAATTATAAGATATAAAATTATAACGTAAAATAATCATAAAAATGTTAAGAATATTGATAAAATTATTTTAATGAAAAAAAATCGTAAAATATAAAATTATAATAATAAATCGAGATTTTAACAAGTAACAATAATATTTTAATAATACACAACTTTAAAATATTTATAATTATTTAATGTATCTACCTTTATATTGTATATATTATATATAGCGAAATATTTTTTTTCATGTTACATAAAAAAACTTATATCATATTATACACTCATCAAAATTCGAGCTAACATTTTTTTTTTTTAGTTATAAGACCTACCTAGCTAATTATGTCTCTACATGAGACAATGTTATTTCAAGTAACATGAAAATAACATAACCCTTATATATATGGCTTTAATTTATTTTCTACGTACATAAATTATATCAACAATAAAATAAATACATTTAGTGAATTACTTTAGTCCCTCTTTAAGTGATGCACGAAATATTCGGACTGGGCGCATGCCTGTCAAGGGATGCATGTGATTTCACGTGATATTTTATTTTATGCAAGTGTTAAAAAAATAAAAATAAAATCTTTAAAATTAAGTGACCAATTATAGACCTAACAAGTGTTTTATTTTTTAGTATACATTTAATGAAATAATGTTTAAAATTGTAATGAATTGACGAAAAATGAAAAATTAAATAAAACCGTCGAACAACATATTATTATTATTGTTATTATTATTATATATAAATCAAGGGAAATATGTATTCTAATATTACATAATATAATTTATCTCTTACAACACATAATAAATAGATGGAATCCATTTTTTTGTTTCCCTCTCTTTTTTCTTAATGGATCCTATCTATTGTTTTATATATTATATAAGATAATTTATCTTATTCAATATAAAAAAAATATTTTTCATAGAGCAAATAATAATTTCCCTGTTTCGTTTTTTTTTTTTTTTGAAAGTTTCATAAAAATTTTGTAATACAAGATTACAAAAAATATCTGTCACTTCAAGAATACATTGGATAGAATTTTTTTAAAATGATACAGGATTACTATGGTACTTCAATTTAGGGGATGTCACATGGGACAATTTTTTTTTTACTCTCTCTTCTCACTCTTTTCTCTCTTTCCTTCGCCCCACTGATTTAAAAAATTTCTCGTTGGATAAAGTTGATGTGGCAATTGCACATTATCCTCGAACGTGTGATATTGTTGTGAAAAATATTTTGTTTCTCCTGTTGTTGTTGTTGCGTATGAGAAAAATTTCAACAAATATATTTACATCAGGATATGAAGTCGGATTTTAGAATAAAAAAAAGATTCAGTATACAAAATCGAATCCTAAAGAAAATAAATGTTGCTATAAATTTTCTTATCCGTAACAACAACATAGTTATTAGAACCTTTCAAATATGCGACTTACTTTTTAGTTTGCACAAATTCATGAAAAATAAGTTAAAAAAAAAGCCAATAATTTAAAAAGTTTTTATTTTAATGGTCGTTGATCATTCTTTTAACATTAACGGTGTATTAGACCAACTTCTAAGGCCTGTATGAGAGGTTATATATCTGCATTTTTAAAATAAGACAATTAATATTATCACACTAAATCTTACTTCCCATTCAAATGTACCTCATGCATTACGATGAAAATGTTTATCTCACAGTGGGAGTCAGAAGAACAAAATAATTATACTCCCTCTCTCTTATAATTAGATTCTTTTTCCCACTTATTCACCTTCTTGTTATTTTCCTAAAATACAAACGCAAGAGCCATTGTGCCTAGTATTTTTCCTTGATTCTCAGTATCTGTCTATGAGTCACGATTACTCTATAGTTGAACTTAAATTTATACCTTTGTCTCAGTTTATCCTGCATCTCTACCGTAATTTCACTGGGAGATAAAATTATTTTCTATACACGTATAAAAGTATATGAGATCCATACAAAATTATGAAAAAAGAAGAGAAAGAAAAATAATATAAGTTCTATATAATTTTATATGTGTGTGTAGGAAGTAAAATTACTTTTTATAATATAATTTATTTAAGGGAAAAACTAATGTTATGTAACATGATGTAAAGTTTTTTACCCACTCACCCAAACTCACACCATCATTTTTTATTTTTTGTTTTTATTATATGTATGAGACCCACATATATTTTTGTTTGAGTAGGAAAATGTTTTAAGATTATGTTACATGATACTAGTTTTACCTTTTATTTAATTTAATTTTTTACTTAAGACGGCTTATTATCAGGGTATGTAAAGAATATGCCAAACACGTTAGAATTAAGAAGGCTATCACGATTCACGGATTATAATTAACATGTTGACAAAAAATTCATGGAGATTAATTACACTCTAGTCTGAAAGCATGCTTGGCCATCTAATCTGCAGAGGGAACGAAAGTCTGACATCTCAATCCTTTCCAGCCACTGCTTGATGCGCATAGCTAGATGAGGTATAGGCCCTATAGGGTGGTCCACAATTGTTCCAGAGACCTGATACGACGCAATATTTTAAACGTGACAACGGTAATATTTTAATGGATTTTATTAATTTCCTTTCCCATAAGATAGTTATCTTATGTGGTATAGAGAAAATGGGTGGTGGGTCCCACCATTACAAGAAAAAAGAAAAAAAAAAAAATGGAGTGCGAAAATCGAAGTGAGAGAAAATGAGATAAGTTATCTCATGTAAAAGGAGAGTAATATTTCTCTATTTTAATAGGGAATCTTATATTTATAAATTTTGTATTTATAAACTGCTAGATTAGGTATAGGTCCTATAGGGTGGTCCATAATTGTTCCAGCGACCTGATAAAGACGCAATATTTTAAACGCGACAACGGTAATATTTTAAGAAGAATCTTATATTTATAAATTTTTAATATAAACATATTTAAGTACCGAGAAGATTATATTTATAAATTTTTATTTATAAATTATATTATGTCTAATTGATAATATAATTTTAAGTAGAGTATTATTGATCAGATATAGCATATTTTGTAAGTTTATGAAGAAAAAAAATTTGTAAATGAATCTTTTCCATTTAAGTATTTATATTCTTTAAGATATATAGTTGAGTTTGTAAACAAAAAATTCGTAAACATAACTCTTTCTTAAAATAAAACCTTTAAAATATTTATAATTATTTAATGGTACCCATCTTTATATTACAAAAGAAAAAATATTTTCTCTTATTGAATAAGAATTCAATTCTTAGGGTGTGATTTCTATTTGCGTATAAAACTTTTTTTTAATAAATATAGGGTCCACCACTAGTTGAGTCACAACATGGTGAATTTTGGGTACCACCGCCGTAACTACACTCTTTCCCCATTTAAAAAATAACAAGGGTATAAAAGTTAATAAATAAAAAATACAGAATACATGTGATATTAAAAAAAATTTATTTTAGAAAGACGAGATACTCACGTGGTATTCAATTTTTTTTTCACAATATCAGAATTCAATTCTCATGAAGCATCCTATTATAAAAAGGAAATAATTATCTCATGTTGCATGAGATAATTATCTCATGCAACAGAGACAAAGTAGTGGGGTCTACATTTTTTTTTTTATAAATGGTGGATCACACTATCTTGTCTCTATTTCATGAGATAATTATCTCATGCAACATGAAATTAATAGATTCTAAAATGAGAAATAATTATCTCATGCAACCCTTATAAAATATATGGATCTCACTAAACTTAACAAATAGCGATAATTTTTTCTTAAAATAAAAATTAAAAGAAGAGAAAGACAAACAAGAAGTGCTCAAAATTGAAATAGTGAGATTAATTTCTATCTTCCTCCCACTTTTTTTTAAAAAAAAAACATGTATAATGTTTCTGTAAAACAGTAATTCTTTGTAGCAGATCCAAAAAGATATAGGAGGAGAGATTATGTGTTTAATCATTTTCAATATCAACTTTATAAAGAAATTAAAATTTTAATCTCAAAACTCATTCCAAATTAAGCTAATTATAAAACATTAAATCAATTAAAATATTTATAAATAAAAAAAAAACACATGTTTCAAATTTTTTTTTTTCTCCTACCACTCTTTTCTCTTTCCTCTTTATGGTTACTGTTTTGCAGCAATATTATATTTGTTTTCCCCTTCTCTGTTTTCCTATTCAATTCCGCCATCCGCTCTCCCATCACATCGGTTCTTGAAATTTTTGTTTTTTACGATTCACAATCAGCCAAACAAGATTCTCCACGAAGCTATATGATATGACAAAACAAACCGATCAGTACTCCTCAAAAGTATATTTTTCTGTATTATGACACATATTTCTAAAACGTGTTTCTCACGTTAAATATAAAATAATTTGTTTTTATATACACAAAAATATATAAAGTTTATATATTTTTTTATTTTTTTCTTTACATAACTCAACATAAATCTCACACAATTTTTTTATATGACTAAGATAATTTTTTTTAACATAAAAAATATTAAATTTTTTTATATTATAAAAATAAATTTATCTACACATACGTAAAATAAACTGTTTTATTATATTAAAAAAGATAAATTATTTCATGTCATAATGATAAATTTGTGAGCTCTACCACTTAAAAAAAAGTGATACAATTATCGAAAAATGTATAGGAAAAAAATTATCACATATAACACAAGAGTAATTTTTTTTAAAATAAGAGTGATGAAACTTTGTTCAAAAATAGAAACAAAGAAAGACCTTATCTCTTGCGGTACTCGTTCACATGTATGTATAAATAGGCCTATCTGCTTACCTCTTCGCATAAAAGTCGAAAAACAAAAGAGATATTACACAAGAGAGAGAGACTGAGAGTGATGGAGTTGAACAATAAGGTATTGGTGAAGGTAGCTTTGTTTGTTTTCTTGTTGGGTGTCACTGCAACTGTTGATGCTCACTTTGATCCAGCCTCCTTCATCAATGAAGTGCTCCCCAACAATGGTGATGGCAGTTACTATGTAAAATCAACAACCAAAGCATGCTGTGATAACTGCTCTTGCACAAAATCAATCCCTCCTATATGCCGCTGTACAGATATTGGTGAAACCTGTCACTCAGCTTGTAAATTTTGCATTTGTACAAGGTCTTTTCCTCCACAGTGTCGTTGCACTGATACAACTAACTTCTGCTATGACCCATGTAACTCATCTGAAGCTGAAGCTGAAGCTCACTAAGAATGAACTATGATGTGAGACAAAGTCACTTAGGCTTTGTTTTCTTGTATGCTAATATGCTAAATAAAATTGGAATGAAAGTAGCTGCTTGGCCATGCAGTTTGTTTTCTGCAAATTGCTGGTCAAAGTGTTTGTTTTATTCTTGTTCTCTTTCGAATTTAATTTCATGCACCCTTGAAATAATTTAGTTCTTTAATTTGAATCATGAAAACAAGAACTTTATAAAACCATACATGACTAAAACTTGAAATGGGACTAGGTTAGGCTATGATATCCTTCATTCTTGATGGGCAAATCCTACATTGCAAGTTGCAACATATATCCCACTAACACAACTGCATATAAATGGTTTTGAGAAAGAAATTAAAGATAAGAGGTGCTACATATTTTCTTTTGATTTGCTCATATTCATATTCTTTAATTTCTTGGTCACACAACGGAGATTAAGGCCATAAAAAATCGTCTGATTTTGAAGCTTCCAATTTTAGTTATTTATTTATATTTTTTGGATATTAGTTTCATTTTATTTTGAAATTCACTAGTACAAGGAAATCAAGGGGGAAGGTGTGAAAGATAAGAATGGTGATGTGGAGAGGGAAAATGGTTGAGGTCTTCAATAACTTGGCAGCAGCGGCGCAGGTGCTGACTAGGTGCATGCATGATGCACTGCAGGTTTTGATTTTAGCTTTTAATGGAATAAATCTTTGGTACTACTGCTGCTCTACCTAGATTCAGTGCATCCCATGAATGAGAGCATTACACATCAGATGAGAGAAACAAAAATTGACAGAAAAAAAAGTATTTTTGCTGACATGTAATATTTTCATTAATGTGATTTCATTTAATATTTTATTTTGTACACGTTGCAATAAATTAAAAATCATGAAAACTACGTGGTCCCATATAAACCAATCAAGCATTTTATGGTTGTTTTTTATCCATCAGTTTTCACAAATTTATGACCTTTCTAGAATTGGAGATCATTTTCAATACAGCATTAGTCGTACGTGCATATGCTATTTAGAAAGTGAGATATGGACTTAAAAAATATTTTTTTTCTTTCGTACGGACAACATAAATATGGTTTCATTTTTGGGTTATGTTTATCTCATTTTACATGAGATAAACATCTCTCCTACACACACAAAAAGGGTTGGATCCCACCACTTTTTTTTTTCTCTCTCCTCTTACATGTGGGTCCCACTTATACTTTTATTTCTACAACATGAGGTAATTCTTTTCCTACAACATAAGAAAAATATATCCCTTCATTTTTATTGGCTGATCGTATGAGTATTGTCTGCGACAGCTGCACTATAGATGTTTCTCCAGAATTGATTTTTTTCTCTCTTATTTTTTGTTTCTTGATACCCAACAGAGATTAAGGCTAAAAAATTGTGTGATTTTTGTTTTTAATACTTCAATCAATTTATCATTTCACAATTAATTTGATTTATAGTTGGTCCAGAATTAAAATTTTAAATATTTTTCAAAAATAATATTAGAAATAGAATGATCAAATATATACTCTCAAATTGAATTTAACTATGAAGCACCGATACTCTTTAAAATTTTTTCTAACGTATTGGGTACGCGTATCGGAAGCGTATCGGACAAGTATTGTTTGGTAATCGGCATCCTGTATCATCGAGAACGTATCGAAAACAGAGTATCGGTGCTTCATAGGTATTTAACTTGTACCATCCTAAGTTGAGTTATTTTTCCCCCTCTATTTTCTTTATCAGTTGCAAAATTTATGATTCCAATCTAGAATTCTCGTCCTTTACAAATTTTAGTGGGTTAGTTCATCTATTGTGCTACTTGTTTGAACTTGATCCACAAGCACATTAGCTTACTAAAACGGCTAAAGATAAACTTCAATGCTTTATAAGCTAAGGGCTTTTGGGGGGGAAAAAACAGAGAGACTTCAGGAGTTGATAGGATGCTATATTGCTATCTATAGGGATTTTGTTTGTTTCATGAATTGCAGCTGAAGGCATTAATTACACTATTCATGTCATTTATATGAGAGCAAGAAGATATGTAGATAGGTTACAATAGTCAGGCAACATCTCTTGATTCTCTTTGATGACGTACATGTCTGTGTTCCCATATGAGTGCTTTTGCATTAGATTTTGCCTGTTGTAATTTTTAAAATTACTGTACTAATTTTTTTTTGAAAATTAGACATAGAGAAAATGCTGCCTGAAATCGCATTCTTGTCTGACAAAGTTGTGAACTTAATAAAATATTGCCAGAATAAGTGTTTCCTTATTGGATTAGTACCTGCGACTATTCTGACAAATCAGTATCCTTTACAAATGGAAAGTGGGGAAATATTTAACGTGCACCGAGTATATGATGGGACTTCTATTGAAAGCATGACACCTGGATTAACAATAAAAATTTTCTCTCCTTCGTACTGTTTGCACAGAAAACGCCGGCTTCTCATTGGTTTGCCCCACCGAATCTCTTGTGTACCGGGTTCACTATAATTTCACTCACTTTGCAGCTATTCCTAGTGCTTTTCTAGAATGGATATTATTATGGGTTATTTAACGTTATTGTCACCGACAGAGTCGGCTCAAAAATTTAGGTGGTGTCAAAAAATTTAACATATTAAATTATTAAAATATTTTTTATAATTATACAAATTTATCAGAGAAAAAATTTATTATGAATTCTAACATAGTTATTTAAATTATATACTAAATAATGTTTACCGAAAATGTTAATGCATTTTTGTATGTTTACTTTGATATATAATGAACGTTAATTGTTCATTTGATTTTTTAATATTATGTGACATTATTTAGTACATACAATTTGACATGAGAATTTTACTTTCCTCCCACAACATAATAAGTAATGAATCAAACATTATCCTAAGGTAAAAAATTTGTGATTAAATTTAGAAATAGGTCAACTAATCATTTTTGTGATTAAGTTTAGAAATCTTTTTTTTTTAAATAATAGGAGTAAGAATAAATAACATAACTGATTAGAATAAAGCTGGAAAAAAAATATACAGGGTAAAAAATAAAAAAAGGTAAAACACAAAAATAACCATACTATACATGTTCCTTATTATTTGTTTGCATTTAGATAGTTTGTTGTTACTTTGTATTGAGTATTTAATTTTCTATTTAGGTAATGCCAAATTATAATTTTTACCTTGATTAATTATATAATAAGTAAACAAAAACAAAAAACAAGCAGGTGCCTGCTATAGCTCCGCCGTTGGTTATTGTGTCATGCGAGGCAATCATAATCGTTCATAGACAAATCATTGGTTATTTTTTGAGATTATTTCTCTTATGTAATAGGAAACAAACTCTCTTATAGACAAATAAAATAAAGCACACCAATTTAAAAAAAAATAGAAAAAGAAAAAAAAAGGCACGCTTTTTGATGTGATTCGGACATGAGAGAACAATATCATGTAATATGAGAATATGATTTTTCTATTTATTGTTTTTTGTTCTTTTCTATCTCAATATTTCATCTGTGTTTGAATAGAGGTTATTTTTTGAAAAATACTCTGGTATAATATCATATACTTGAGTATATGACTGGGTCAATGGTCAAACAAGGAAAGAAGGGTTATATGTTGAGTTAAGGGGGCAAAATGGTCATTTCATATTAAAGAAATATTTTTCCCATATTTTATATATATATATAAACCGTAAATGAGTAAGTGATTCTAAAAGAAACCATGTCGGGGGTTTAATTTTTCCCTTTTTAAAATTTTAAATTAATTTTTAGAAAAAAAATTAATTAACTTTCTTTTTATTTTTGCTAACATTTGTTTTTTCTTCTTTTCGTTAGGATTAAACTTAATAAATTCATGTTGAAAAAAAAGGAATGATTTGTTCAAAAATTATTTAAATTGTCATCTCTCTCTTCGTTTCTCTTTATATACGGAGGCCAAATTATTTTATATTAATATAAATTATATTCTTAATTTTGATATATATATATATATATATATATATATATATATATATATATAGGGTGATAGAACATTATACACACAAAGATAGAATTGAAATTAGGGGCGTAAATTGGCCAAGCTGGGCTGGGCTTTGACCTTCCTGGCCTAAGCCTACGTAAAAAAATATTCAGCATATTTGGCCTATTAGCCTACTAAAGGCTTTATTTATAGGCCAAGCCTAGCCTATTTTTAAAAATTAGAGAGTCTTATATGACCTACAGGCCTTGTAGGTCTCTCTATTGAAATATTTTTAAAAATTTTAAAAATATCTTTAACAATTTTAAAAATATTCGCTTGACATTACAAGTCATTAACGTGTTCATAAATTGCTGCATTTTTTTACACGAGATATAAATATCACTAGTGAGCTTTAAAAATTTTACAATAATAAAAATAATAACTATAAAAAGTTACTGAGCAAAGTTTCATTCATGCATACACTAGTACTTCCCATAATTCATAAAAAATGACAAACAAGAAAGAGTCAACATAATACCCCAGCTCTATAATGTATATCATATATCCTAAAATAAATATATTATATTATATTATTTTAAAAAATTAAATAGGCCAGCCTACAAGGCTTTAGGTCAGGCTTGACAAAATTGGCCTATGGCCTACTTGTTAAAAAGGTTTTCTTATAAGCTTAAGCCTAAGCCTACTCGACTTTTCAATATAGGTCGGGTTAGGCCAAGCTCAATGCAGGCCGGGCTAGGCTGGCCTGGCTGTAGGCTAGGCCAGGCCAGCCTAGCCCATTTACACCCTTAATTGAAACCAATAAGAATCATGTCTGCTTACAATAACAGTAAGAGCTCGTTTGGTAGACATGTTTAAAAGTATTGTGTATACATGCACGTGCGATTTAATTCTTTACAAAAAAAGTACGGTGTATACGTGTTTAAAAGCACTGTGTATACATGATTGAAATTTGGTGTCAAATATTTTAATTTGACATTGGTATCATAAAGGATCCTGTCTCAATATATATATTTATATGAAAAAATATTTTTACAGCCACTTTAAATAAAATTATTTATAACTACACGTTTATAACTATGTACTCCAAGGAGTACATAGTTATAACATTAAAGTTTTTTTTTCTCTCTTCACGTCAGTAGAAAGGTTCTGAAAATTGACTAAGGAGA